GAAATATATTTTGTAGTATTTGGAAATAGGCTTTGTTCAAGGTTGTTTGTACTTCGTTTTAGACCACATTTTGTCAGAAGTACCCACTTGTTAGATACATGAGGGTGATTATAATGCCAATGAATATTTTGGCTTTGCATGCTATCTTTGAAAAAAACATGCCTTTGAAAAAAAAGTTTCGAAAAATATTGCCTTTCTGTTCAAACTGGATTGTACCCATGATTGTACTCAGTCTCTATGGTCGCTCTAGGTGATTTTAAAAAGCAAACTTTATTCATGTTCAGTGGCCACTGTTTCCATTTCAGGCTAATGGAATTAAATAATTTCTGTTGGCTCTGTGCATGAACCGTTGAGGTCGGTGTGGCCTACTTATGAGAGTCAAGCAGCGGCAAGCTTTCGCTTCTGTAGGTTACGATGTAAAGTACTAAGAAAAAAAAATCCACAAAAAAAGGAAGAAATAAAAGGTTAAAGCTGGCAATTTCCATGTCACACAGTAGCAGGAAAAATAAAAAAGTTGGACGGCTTGTCGCCTGGCAAAACGAAAGTCGCCCTCGCCTCTTTTTCAAAATACTGTTTTTACAAAATCTAAGTAAACATGTCGCATGTAAGCTGAGGGTTTGTTGCCCACGGCCGAAACGATGTCATAATTATGCAGGAAAGCAGTCCTGTGCTTGGGGTGGTTGTTATACGAGTTGTCCACACAGGCAACAAAAAAAAGAGAGAGAAAAGAAAAAAACTCGGCTCATTTTCCAAAAGTTTGAGGACTTTTTGGAAAAAAAACCCCGTCCACAGTACCTGAGACTTTTCTTGTTCGGCAATATTTGCCTGGAGACGCCAACTTAAGGCTTTTACAAATGAACGGGGGGTGAAGAAAAAACTTCTAATCAGGTCAACAGTATGTTAGACTTTGGTCGGAGTGAGATTTTTGCGCCCAGGGTGGCAATTATAGCCCTCCTTGACGACTTTTGAATTGATCTCGTTCACGGACAAACTTTGGCATACAATATGGAGTGCCCTTGGCTTAAGAACCTATGAGAATCGGAAAGAAGAAGAAGAAGAAGAAAACTAGAGGTGCTGCAGCGGGACTATGGGATCAGAATGTTGCACTCGATGGTTTTTTGGCCTCGGGGTCGTGTGTGTAGACCATGTTTGGCTTGGCGACACTCTCCTGTACTTACAAAGTTTCTGGCTCTTTAGAAGGAAATACGGGTGAAGATTTTTTGTTTTTACCATCGTAGCGTTTTGAGTTTCTAGACCTTGTAAGACAGATGCCAAAAGATATTTTGCAATGGACACCTGGTACACTGTTCATGTAATTTCATTAACAATTACAAAGTCTTTTTTTGTTTGTTACAGTCTTTGTGCCTTTGGACAAAGTTGTCAAATTACATGTGCCTAATTTTCAAACGGTGTTTAGCATGACTACAAGGAAATTGGCGAAAGATGACCTTGGTCGAAAAACTGATTCTTCCGTTCTGATCAAAGCATTCCCCTCAATGAAATTAAAAGCTGAAAAACCCTGATGCAAATGAAACGCAGCGGGGAATTGCTATAATTATTTTGGAATTGTTTGGTGCTCATGTCTGCCGTCTGATGTACATGTTTGCACCCCAAGTCAGGTTGCTCCCATCTGTCATGACGTCTCAATTCCTAGAGCCGTCCTGCTCTAGACATCGTTGGTGGCCGGTTTTATAGTTGCTAAGTTTTTCCTCCCTTGTTGTGGTGGTGAATGTTGTTTTGGAAGGGCAGACGTGTAGGTGTGTGACGTCCTTCTATACTATTTAAAGAGAAGTCTGTTGTAATACAACCAGACAGAAAAATAATATTGCAGACGGATGGTTATGTAAATTACACAGAAAAAAAAAGTTGTGCAAATAAATAAACTGTAAGGTGACTTATCTGTTCTTTTTCACTTGAAGAAAATTGAAATGAAGAACTCTATCTCTTTCTCTCAACATCAACGTAAACTAAAGTTCTGTGTTCAGACGAAGTTAGACAAAATATTGCACCAACAATACATTAAAATCAAACTTCTGCAGCTGATGAAAATATCTGTCGGTAACTAGTGCAGATGGAAAAAGGGGCGGGGCATCCGATTACAAATCATAAATATGCATGAGTTCCTACGTTTGGGCGGTAACATTCTTCTTTGCTATGCAAATTTGTTGACATCTGCTGCTATCTGCCTGGGTAAACTTCTGGACTCTACAAGCAGCAGTACCTGTACATATTGATACCGTTGACTGGTCGGTTTCTCAGACTGGAAACCTTTAATGCCAATCACAGATCCTATCAAAACCCAAAACCAACCACATAAATGTCTCGCAAATCTATATTTGCCCAGCCAACATCATTAACACTTCCCAATCAGGTACTTGCAGACCCATTCTTAACATTTTAACAGGCAGTTAAGCACAGTACCCCCCCCCCTCCCTCCTTCCCTTAGACATCTACCCTGACCCTGGTTAGCCATAAGGCCAATAGAGATCAATGGAACCTATCACAGCATGATGGCCGCTCGTTTTCATGGCAGATATACGGAGACGGAATCCTTGTTTTCCCTCTGGAGCTGTCTGGTCCCAGAATTCCTGGTTCGGGATGATGACTTCCACCTGGCCGTTTTTGAAACTTGGGGTTAACACTCCAGCTTGGGCTTCAAGCTCAAACATCAGGATCCCCAGGTGTCTGATACTGAGGATTCTTCCATTAGCCTTCAAAGCGTCCACAACCGCCCTGCCATTTACTCCTCAAACCGCCCCAAAATGCCCCAGTACTCTTTGCTTTTATTGACTTATGGAGGAGGGTTAATGCTAAAGGGTTAAGGCAGACCCCTAGTTTGCTACTCCAGAAACATCAAGTCGTAGGTGCATGTACATGTACATGTACAAAGCCACAGTTTTCAGTCTTTCTGTCTGGTTTGATTGCTAAATGCTTCTGAGGTCCTTAATGAAGCCGACCCTGGGAACAATCCCAAGGTTTCGTAAATGGCCCTGGACAATATGAGATGTCAACTGAAGGCTCATGTCAGAGACCTGCTCATAAAAGACAACAAATCCGCAGGGCCTAATTTTATGGAGCTGTCAAGTGCAAATCTTGCTAAGTACTTAATATTTGTTAAGCCAAAAAAATTGGGTCACCGGCCAAAAAGTCATGCAGTCTATACATCTCGTGACAGGTACTTAGCTGAATTTTGCCGAGCATGTTAATTTTCTAAGCACTTTATTTTCTGATGAGCTCTTGAAAAGTACTTCCGTTTCATTTTTTTTTTAATCATTAGTATTAAAATAACATGTGTGTATAGCTTAAAGTCATTAACTGGGGAACATTTACCTCAGAGCTCTGACAGTCTCTAGGATAAATTATATGCCCATTGAGCAGGGGTAATAATGATCATATAGCAGAGATATAATGTTCAGTACATTGTTGTTATTATTACAGCCATGTTAGTTTATTTTAGCCTCCATGGTCTGCACTAATTTTTATTATACAAATAACGAATGTTTGTGAGTGCGATGGTAAGAATAATTTCATGAGGTGACAGATTGAATGTTCTATTCCACGAGGCGAAGCCGAGTGGAATAGAACATTCAATCTGTCACCGAATGAAATTATTCTTTCCATCGCACGAACGTAAAACATTCGTTATTTGTTTTATACAACACCAGAATAAATTTTCGTCATTTGATTGGTAAATAATAAACTACAATTTATTTTGATTTTAAAGATGTTGGACTACCCCTTCACGAAAATGTTTGAACCCAACGCTGTAGCGCTGGCTCTTTGGAACAATACGCGCTACGCTGAACGCGCACACCAGCATGCATTTTGCACGCAAATACCGCGTCATGGAACAAGCGCAAAGTGAAACGGTATAACGCATGGGTATAACGCATGGTCGCACCGTGCATTATACCGAATAATAATATGTCACGTGATCTACAATTCACCAATCAGATGACGGGGATTTATTCAGGCGTTGTATAAAACTTGTCTATGAATTCCATCCTGTGATCCATTTTTGACGAGATCCACCTGTTCTCAGGCCCGGTGGTTTTCTCTTTCCTCTCTGGGTTGTTTGGCAACAAACCATGGTGTGAAGGTTAGGGATAATGGCTGGTAGACTTGACCTCAAGATACCGGCACAACCGTGATATATAAACATGGGCCCTGGCCTGGCGCTGCACCATACCAACAGGTTTAGGAGACAAAAATGTGTAGAAGTTCAAGGATCCTGGAGAAAAAAAACATGAAGAGCGAAACATTTTGTTGCTTTTCTAATACTCAGCAGAAAGCATTTGACATAAAATGTCATGATTAAGCCAAAAATATCATCGCCTCGTAGACACCTGTTTGATTGCCTCTTTTAAAGTTGCCAAACAGATCTTGCAAATCATTATATTAATTTGCATAAAAATTATTATAGAGGCTTTTAAATTAATAGGCCTATAATTTAATTTACTGTAAGTGATTATTGCAAAAATTGGATATAATTTTTTTCTTTCTTGAAGTTTACAAAAATGAAAGCTGCTTATTTTTTTAACAGATAACGATGACTTTTATCATACGCATAACTTAGCACACAGTGAGGAGTAGGGATCCTATTTTAAAAAAAGAAAGAAGAGAGAGCATGGTAAGGTTTTGATGGAGAAGGCACTTTATCATGGCCCTTTTATCGGAGTAAACACTTGTATTATTGACATTCTGCGCTAGAAGCCAACCAACCGAACGCATTAGTTGAAAGATTGAAATGGAGATTACCCTCTCAAATGAGCAAATAATTGTTCTACCGTGGTCCATAAAGAAGGCCATCCTAAAGTAAATCCCTGTCGTCCTTTTCCTTCGTCCGTTCCTAGCCGGAAATCATAGCCGGAGAAAAAAAAAGGACAGTCCAGTCCAATCGACATAATTAGAAATGAAATCAGGTCAAATCGTCAGAAGAGCGTTCTTAAACGGCTCGTTGGAGCGAGAGCACGGAATGAGGAATTTTGTGCCGTCTCGGGATGGGTTAGCGTCTTGACCTCTCTAAGATGAAGCCACGGGTGGATTGATGCTGACAACCGTGGCGGGTTTTTACGGGGGCGTGGCTGAGAAGGGATGGTGAGGAGTGTGGGATTAAGGAGGACTCCTTGAGTTGATGGATTGTCATGGGAATCGCATCCTTACGTCTCCTACTTTCCAGGGCTGTTTTTGGGATCTTGTGTTGACATATTTCTTGTCTCATCAGTTTTTTTGGAAGCATTGGCTCCAAAGCTTATTTTGAACCTGCAAAATGCTCAAAATGACAAAATTTAAGTTAGATTTTATTGGTTGATTTGCATATTCAGGATGTAAAAAACTGGTTTTGTTCTAGCTGTTGCAATCTTTTGGATTCAGCAGGCTTCAAACATAAGTTTAGGATTGACAATTGCATATTTTGTGGCATTTCTAGAGTAGAACCAGAAAGTATTTTTAAATGATAAAAACGTGCTTGACCTTGTTCATTTTTTTTTTTAAATTGAAGAGTTACTTTGACTTCCCGTCCGTAAGTGATGGACAGGGAACAAGGTGGAGGTTACGGATGTTTCAAATTCAAGTCAGTCAGACAAGTTGTCTCCAAAGAAACAGCAGGAGACATACTTACTGAATACTTGTGAAACGTTTTTCCGATGACAAAAGAAGGAATTTCTAGGGTTTCCGTGCCATCTGTTTGCAAGTCAAAAAGCTGGATTCCTGATGTATGTGTTTGATTTATAGGGACATATGTTGGGCTTGTTGTCTGTTTTGCAACTGACAAAAACAGACGAGTGTTCTCTTGTGACAGGAGGTGCTCTACAGATGTGAATACGGTTTCCATGTTGGCATTGAAATAGTTTTGATGGATGGACAGGGTGGAAAGATCAAAATTATGGGCGGGTCTATTCTGCCTTTTTGGAAACCGAGGCCAAAATGGATGTTAATGCTTGCGGAGTTACAAACCCATAAATCACTATTAGCAATCCATCCTGTTTCCTCCCACTTCACTAAAGAGAGGGATAAGCTAGACCATCACTTTTTTATCCAAGTTGTTGCATCACGTCCTGGCACTTTAAAAACAAATATTCTGAACTTTAATTATGATATTTTTGATGTGGAAAATGAGAAAAAGTTTTGCAAGTTTTTTTATTTTTCTGAATTTTTTTTTTTAATTTACCCTTCACTTATTTTGGATAAAGATACAGACATGTAGTTTCAGTGGTTGATCTACAGGACGTGGTGCCCGGGGTGGGGGTCAGCCTGACAGGGTCTACTCTAAACACCACATCTCGGGCCCGCAAAAGAACTTGGAAAATCGTGCAGAAAAACACAGCAAATGCATGCTAACCCCCCCCCCCCTATTTTGACAGCAAAATTCCCCTTTTGATCCACAGCTGGAGCAGTCCCTGAGCTTCAGAATCATGAAGTTAGTCTGGTTTAAGTCCTGAACTGTAAAAATCTTGATTTAGCCATGTGTTCCTTCCTCCATGATTTAGCTAACTTACACAGTTATACTGCCTTCCATCCTTCCCCTCCAAACCGCCCAAACCAAAGCCTGAAATCAACCTGCTGAGGGGGGAGGGGGGGTCAAGAAACATATGTTTCCCTCAACCCAGGGGAGGAAGCCAGCTTACTGTTGCTGGACCTGGCCCATGAATATTGCCCCATGTGGAGTGCGGCGTGTCACAGATCAACTTACAACCTGTCTGATATCATGACTCCCCTCTTATTTTTTTTTTGCTCCAATGGATACCATATTGTACACACTTGGCTGTGTGTTGTGATGCATGGGGCTCACTGATGCATGCAGCAATGGCTCATGTTTGTCAGATGTGAGCATAAGCAAGGTTATTGTGGGACCATAATTTATGCAGAATTATATTTGAATAATTCATATGCGGGAAAGAAGATGGATAGTTGTAATCGAAAAAGTCAAGACGAAAAGTTTTCTGTAGTTATTGTTCAGAAAATGTTCAGGCGTAATGTTCGCATATCTGTGGTGATACCAGAGTATCTCTAGTTCCATAGAGCTAGGAACTAGTACGTAGCTCTATGGTTCATGTACTGTAAAGATCATCAACAAAGTAATCAGCAGGCTTTACCATGTCCTTGATAGGAGACTTAAAGTGTATCATCGCTTAGAAAACATAAAAACTTAACTGCCCCACTCGAAACCAGCATTCTTGTGGGTTTAAGCCAGACATGAGACACTTATCCCAGCCCAAAATCTTGTTATCACTACCATAGGGTGTCCTTGTAGCGAGGTCACCAAATGTGTCATCACTGATTGGACATAAAAAACGAAGAGCCCTCTTAATACCCCTTATCCTTCTGGCATTTTATGGTCGAGCTATTAACCCATCTCCTGGAGCAATCCCTCATCTGATTGACATATGATACCAGGTGGAGGGGTCGCCACGGCAACCATCGACACCTGGTGACTGAATAGCAGGGGAGGATTGTGGGATTGCCGGTTACAGTCCAAACAAACTGTCTCTAGCCACACAGACTGCCAAGGCTGGGTGTGGAGGCTGACTGAGCACGCCAGGTGCGACGCTGGAGTTCAGTTGTTACTGGATAGTTACTGTTTGATCAGGGATTGACTGAACAAATTTTAGTTTCGGAATTCAGTCCTTCCCCCCACCCCCCCCCCCCCCCCCCCCCCACCCCACCCCCCACCCCCCAAACAAAATTGCTAGTCACTGATTGTGAATATTTTATCTCTAGCAGAGGCCAATTTGTGAACATATCTGAAAACTTTGATACATACGCATACTTCTACAAATTTATGACGTTACTTGTTTTCTAAGTTACTCAAATTTCACGAGCACAGTTTTCCTTTTAATTGCGTGGTTGTTTTTTGTGTGTGGAAGATTTACTTCACGAAGTTCCAGTTAAGTTTCAGTGTTCTTCCTTTCAAGGAATCTTGACAAAATTAATCATATTTCTAAATTAAATTGGTCCCAGAACATCAAGAAAAAACATATTTGCAAAAAAAATGTACTTGTGCTCATATTTAGCTCTGAAGTTTGGTCTGCTTTTTTCCAATGCCTATTTTTTTTTTTTTTGCAATTCCTTGTGCGTGATTCCTTTCCATAATTTATTTTGGGAGAAGAGTGATTTTTCCCCAACTGCCTCAGAATTTGAGGAGGACCCCTTTTCCTTTCAAGGACCCCAGCACCAGGTGGCATCTCACCAGCAGAGCGGCGGCTTGTCATATTTCATAACCCCTTTCAGTTTCAATTAAATCCCAATTAAACTCGGACCTAATTACATCATGATGTCAGAAAAGTGAATAAAACCACAGGTATCTGGACGGGAGGTTGTAGTTTTTTGTAGATAAGGGCGGTTTGGATTTGGTAAAGTGGGAGTTTTAGCCCTTGGATATTTGTGATAAAAATGTTCTGTGGGGCTTTCTTCATTTTGTTGGATAAATCATGATCAGTTTCAATTTGAGCTCGAGGGTTGAATGTGATCAAAATTGATACCATACGTTTTTCTCCCACTTTCAACTCAAATTTGGGGAAAGGGGGGGGGGGGGGGTTTAAATGTCTGCCCACTTTAGCTTTTTTTAGATAGACTATGAAATCCGTAGGGAACTAATAAAGAACCTGCTATATTTCTTTTTGAACATCCCTCTTCAGTTTGTTCTTGTGATGGTACGGTTATTTTATTCAAGAGACAGAGACGGAGTGGTCTGATCTTTTCAAAGAGGCCGGCTTGCTGAAAGCCTCGACCCAATTATGCAAAATTTACCGCGGACTGTCGACATTGGGGTTAATTCTCCAATAATTTGGTTACAATAAACCATAATCTTTTATTCAAGGAGGTCTGGGGTCAGTAGCAAGAGCTAATTGGATTTTTTTCTCTCCTTTTTTTTTCTGTGAAGTTCTTCTTTTTTAAAGCCTGTCGGTTCTTGTAGCAAAAGCTCCCCGACAGTTAACAAATTTACGAGGTCCATTTCAGAAATTTGGCTTTGGGAGCTACCGGAATAAATTATGTGCTAAGGTTATGATTCCCCAGCGATCGCCTCTAGTCTGTGATTGTTATTTAAGACCCCAAATGTTGCTTTTTCAAGCCCAACCCAAGGAAATATATGATTTGAGTGCTTCGCCTTGATTTGGTTAACCTGAACAAAATGTTGTCAGAATTGGAATTGTTGAGAAGAAAGTTTTTTACTAGAGATATATTTTAGCTGTCCTTAGTGTCTTTATTTTTCATGTATCTTGTTTTGTGTAAAACTGTTCTACTCCACATATATTGTGCTTTGAGGAAAAGCAGAAGTCAAAAATGGAGACAGTGTTCACAGGTTTTGTATCTATCTAGCGTCATTCCTGGCTGAAGCAAAGTAAAGAGTTCAAAGGTAAAGCTTGTTCAGTTTCTTCTTACATGTCTAACCAATATCAACTTTTCCATATGTTGTGTCGGATCCGCAAACTTCACAGAGCGTGAATAACTGCCCGTGACAGAAAATTACCAGAGTTATTCAAATGGAATCGTCAGTTGCTACAGCTCGTCTCGTCCCTGGCCCGTCTCGTCCCTGGCCCAGACGGGCTTCAAAAAAAGATGCCCCAATTACGTTCCAGTCCATTTCCTTCCCATTACCAAGGTATCCCTTACTGAATGTTCTCGGATCACTGCCAGATATCTTCAAAACCCTCCTTCTTAAACGGTGAATCTCTCAGTTGATTTGCTTCATGGAATGTCCTGGTCCTGTTTTTGAAGTTGGAGTGGAGAGGACTTTTATCCTAGTCGCTTGCCCCGCATCGGTCAGGGGTGGGCTGTATGTCCTGACCTCGCATTCTTCCAGCATGGAAAGTATTTGCTAGGATTTCATTCTGCCTGCAGCGGTTTTCTTGAAGAGACGGTGATATTAGTGGAGTCGGAGAGGTGAATTGGGCTAGTTGGAACAGCAGGAGTTCATACGATGAAAGATATTGTCTGTTGAACTTTAATATTGCTCCAGATGAAGTAACGCTGTCTGTAATATTGCAATACTCCACTTTCCTACATGTATTTCTAGGGCCAATTTCATGGTAAGCACACTGCTAAGCACACAAGTTTATTAGCATAGAAAATGTACTTAGCAAAACTAGGTTACCAGCCAAAATATCATTTGAGATATGTTGCTTGTGCCTGGCGCTCCACTGATTTCTTCTCAACAAATTAAGCTCTGTGAAATCAGGTCAGAGTTTTCAGTATTTTTTTTTTCAGTATTTTTTTTTTCAAAGTCAAGCAAATAGTTTTCTTTTAGTCGAGGAAATAAATCTCCGGACATTAAAGCTCTATACCGCAGAACCTACCCCAAAACAAATATAAAACAAAAACAATTCTAGTGATTCGATACAAGCAGAGGGTGAAAAACATAAATTTAAAGCAAAATGTAGACATTTTTGGATGGAAATTTATCACTCGTCCTTGCAGTCTACTCCCCCGTCCTGCCCAAAAGTCAAACAGGGCAACCCTGTTTGGACAGATGGTCTTGGCATGGTGGCAAAGTTTCTTCCGCCCAAATGTCCGTGTTTTCCTTCTATGCTTAGCCAAAGTCCCCAGACAATTTCCCCAACCAATTTCCAAGTTTGGCGTGAGTTGCGACCTTATTGACCAAGTCCTGACAGATGCCTTAATCTTGAGACTCGGTTTCAGCTGCGGCTAATTTCATCGAAAAAAATTGCTGAGAGCAGAAAACATTTTGCTTACAAAAGTTGAAGACTTCTATTCCTTGTGACCTTTCCAATTACACAGAAGTGACGGAACTGCTTAAAGAAGAAAATACATTAAAATGCTTTAATAATGAATAATCATGCTTAGCAAAAAAACACGATTTGAAAGCAGTTGCAGCCTTCTTTCAAGCTACATTTTTGCTGAAAACTTGAATTAGCAAAGTAAAACATTCCCTGTCCTGGGCAATTCAGAGTTCTTTGAGCATTACCGTGAAATTGTACCAAGCGTTGACAAATCACCCCTCGACATGCTCGAAAGGAATTCATCCAAATTCCATCCCCCTCTTCACATCCTACCCTTCAACGCCTTCCTCTAACCACCCCTAAAGTTCCTCATCGTTTTCAAGTCTATGAACTCTTTATCATGATCATACCAACACTGGGTGTGAAAATCAACAGAGGAAAAAACTCCATGCATAGAGACAGACAGGATACATATTTGCCCTAAAGGGGCAGGATCTGACAGACTCGAGAGATTTTTTCGGAGGGGTGGAGAAATTTGATGCCCATGGCTAAATAAGTAGGTGATGATGTATGGAAGTTTTGACCCCTCAAAAACGATGTCAACCCTCAGAAAAGCTTTATATGTAAGTTGTAGTGTACAGTTTACCAAGTTTTTTGGGGGGAGATATAGAAACGGATGTATGTTTTTCAGATATACATGTTCAAAACCAGTGATATAGTTTTTTGTTACGTGTTTTCTTCCTTATGCTCTGTCTTCTGTGAAAGTTTTATGAAGATTTTCTGACTGATTTTCACGAGCTTCAATGAGTTCTGGCAAAGCCTGCAAAGTTTCACTCAGTAACTCTCTTAAGAATTTATATTACTTTATGTTAAAATCTAGTGTATATATGCAAGATTCAGAATGCCAAATTTTAAATTCCGAATTTTTTAACTTTGTAGCTTGAAACTGGAACTTTGTAATCTGCCAATAACATCAACTGCCTCGCGTGCTCTTGATTTCCGATCTAGGCCTCGCATACTTTTTTTTTTGTAACTTGCGTCATCAACCGGGTCAGAAACTGTCATCCTGCTATCATATCCCATTACCGTTATTATCTCGACTCCTGAACCCATTCCGAACCCAACCCTTTCAACACTTATCAGTCTTCGATATAAATTACCAAGAGCGAAAAAGCAAAATGATAAATCTCTTCCCATGAATTTGCTGTGAGACAGTGAACTTATAAATTTTGCCATCAGCAAGATGGCCAGCATGGAGCATAGAATTTAGACACACCTTGTACATTTTTTTCTTTGTGCCGAGATAAGACGTTGTGATCTCCTGACACTACACCTACAGTAAGGTGTAAATTTCGTCATTTTCTCACCCCTGCTGTACCCCTCGTTGTGTATACCTACTGACAGACGGGGTCTTGTTTTGTTTGTTTGTCGGGTTGGGCCGGGTGCGCATGGGCACCTGTAACTTTTGCCTTGATCCTTTGGTTTTTTGTCTTTGAGATATGGCAAGCGTTGTTTTGCGAAGCAATAAATTGTTGCTTGAAAAGTTGACGGTCTTTGAAGTGGAAAACAGTACTCACTTTGTTTTGTAGCGAAGACTGTAAGCAAGTTTCTCAGGCTAGGGATCTGTTGGTGAATTGGATCGATTCTGGCAGTGATTTTAATTTTCTTTGAAGACAAACAATCCTTTCTTGAGTGTCAAAGTAGTGATTTACAGAAGTACTAAATTTAAAATAAATAAATGAATATATAAATAAACCAATAAAAGACCCAGTTCTTAGCTCTAATTGTGTTGTTCCTGCCTTGTGTTATGAAGAACAGTCACTGACACCTGGTACATTCCTGTCCCACTCCTGGTTTCAATTAATATTTTAATCTCCCAGTTAATCACTCAATAAAACTGTTGCTTTCTCTACCAATTTCAATCTGTCCAAACCATCCCAGTAATACCCAAGACAAACTGGAACCTGGCCAAACCAATTACTGTTAATGACTCTGGCCTTTGATGGGCAATTAAGGAAAGAACACCCCTCCTCATCCTCTGTGGAAGTTCCCAGATGCTGTGTAAATGGATTAAACCCAATGTGGAGTCAATTAAGCAATTAGGGGTGTTATTGTTGACAGAGGGACTTAAAGTAGGGGAGGTCAGCTGTGGTTGTCTTGTAATATTGTTGGTCATTTACTTCAGACTTTTGTTATTTTTACAAAGTGGGGATGAAAATTGTTGACTTTTAAATGGTCAACTTTCTCTCCTTTGTTCAGACTTGATTCAGCTTATGTAATCGTTGTCTGGAGTGGAGACCAGACAAGGCATTTTAATGTCTTCAAGACATTTGACAAACTTTCAGATTTAACACTCTCTTTTGGTGAAGCCGGATTAAGGCAGTGAAAGACCCATCAGAGGTGTTGTTTGAACTTGGCTGCAGAGATTTGCTGAGCCATGTTTGTCTTGCTCTGTGCTTAATGAATGGACCATTTAGCAGTCTGGTGCCATTTGCAGTTAACAGTGGCTTTCTTTTGCCTTATCCATTCTGAGTAGGGTTGTGGAAAGTTTTTGTCTATAAAGCTTTATCCTGTGGACAGCTGATATAACTTTGGCTGACTGGCCTATGAATATGCATTGCAGGCTTTGTTTGTATACATATGCATGTACACGCATGCCAATGCACAAGTGTGTGGTCAGTGTGGAACTCTTCCAGTTTTGAGCCCATGTTTTGTATACACTTATATACTGTTGGACAAACATGTCAATGTTTTCCCACAAGAGGGCAGCATTGCATTTCTACAGTTGATTAGGACCACTCACTCACTTGCTCTGCAAAGTGTGCTTTGACCATCAGACAATAATCATGTGTATATTGAGGTGCCTATATTCCATTTTGAAATGTATGTTTTAATATTGAGAATTTAATACAAAGTATACACTGCAAGTCAGCCCATTTCCAGATCAGTGTTTTATTTTACTGAAAGAAAGTAGACTGAATTCCTTGTCCAGTGCCCACTCCAGAAGTGAATCAAATTCCTTTTCTAGCTCCATTTTCCGTCCCAACCACTCTTCTTTACACCTCAGATTTTTAACTGACACTGTCTTTTTTCCATTGTCCTTTCCTCCTGCTCCCATTAATTCTTCCCATCCAAACTCCAATCCCAATGTCTCCTCCGTCAGTTATAATTCCACCCTGCATCAACCCATCAATAGACCCCAAAATCCCCCACCGTCTAAAATCCCCGCTCACCCACTTGACATGCCCCAGAAAATCACCTCCCAAACAACCCCAAATCTGCTGCCAAAAAAAGCCACCATAGGCTACTGTATTACGCTGTCATCCAAACTGGCCGTGTGCGCCTCCTAAATGAAGTTTGCTCAGCGCAAACATTCGCTGGTGCATGTGTTTGTTATTTGCTCTTTGCCGTGTTTGCTTTTTGAGTCAGTTGGCATACCTTGATGGCTCAACTGGAAGCTTTCAGATCGGATTGTTTTCGGACCAGTGGATGCATACTTGCATGCTCAGAAGTCAATTTTGTTGGTTGATTGTCCTAAACCAAAGAAAGATATCACTTTTTTGGTTTACAGTACCACTTGTTCTTACCTGTGCCACTTTACTTCTGTGTCCAACTTAGTACAAAAAATCAGACGATTAGAAAAGATGTACTCTTAAAACAGGATGTTTTGATCTGGGGGATTTAAATCCGAATTTTTTAAAATTCGGTTTGAATTCCACAATTCGGTTTCGATTTTGGAAAATGGATATTCGAAACCAACCTTTAAAAAAAATTAAGCCTTCCAATATTTGTGATTAGGCTAAAGAAAAGCTAGTTTGCCATTACTGAATTTCAAGGAATTGTGCAAAAAAGAGAGAGAAATAAACAGAACAAAACAAACCAAACAGATCTCTCACCAGCACAATGTTCTCATGCTGTGCTTTTGTTGAAAAATATGTTCTGCTACATTAAATTTGTTAATATAACATTCCTAAACAGTCGCTTTTCTCCTCATTAAACCTCTCCTCAAAGTTCAACGTTGCTTACAGGAGAGAGTTGATTGCACTTAAACCTTATCACTTGTGTTTTAGAATCAGACATGATGATTGATGAGTGTAGTATGATGTGACAGTGTTTGGGGCCGAGGTTGGTGCGCTGAGACACCTCATGGGGCGCTGGCATTTTGATAAATTTCCACGCTTTGCTGCAAATGAAACATTCATTTATTTTGTTGCAGTTGGTTTTTTTTAATGGAAGGTGTGGGATACGTGATGGGACAGTAAACATTCCCAGACATACTAGTCAGAAGGTTTATGGGAGAAATCTACAGAATAATGTTGATGGGAATTTAAAAAAAATGTTTTCAGGGAAATGCACTTTTTATATCAGCATTGGTATTATTGGTTTCCAGATATTATTGAAAAATGTTATCACCGCCAATCGTCAATTGTTGAGAAATTGTGCATAATTTCAACAACAAAAATAATAAATTCTATTTAAATCTTATAATACATGTAAACTCTGTTCCTTTGACCTTTTAAGGCAAAGTCTTTCTTTTGGTCTTCTGTTTGCCCAGACGAAAGTCATGACCAGGGTTTTAGCCAGCATTTGAAAATTGGATATCCAAAATTTGCTAAAAATCAGAAAACAGTCCACCTTTTTGATGTTGTATAATCTAAAACTACAAAATGTGTCCAAAATAGCCTGTTGTGGATACTTTGTTGCTAAAACAGAGTGCATAGGACTGGTGCCAATTTCACGGTGCTGCTAAGCACAAAAATTTGCTTAGCACCAAAAAAAAGTCTGGCTTATAAAAGCAGGTTACCAGCCGAAACTCCTCGTGATGTATATTGCTCGTGATTAGTATTCAGCTGTTGTTTGCTTAGCATGAAAATCACATGGAGTTTTGGCTGATAACCTGCTTTCATATTACAGACTTTTTTGTGCTAAGCAAATTTTTGTGCTTAGCAGCGCCGTTAAATTGGGCCCTGGTGTTTCCTCTCGTAAACAAGAAATAAACATTATTTCTTTGTTCTGTTTTTCCCCTAACAGTTTTGGCACAGGAGGGCTGCAGGTGGAAGCGGAGATCAACGACAAAGTTGAGATCGAGTGCCCGAAGACTCCCAATACCACGACGGGGCGCCAGTTTGCCGAATACCTAAACTTCACACAGGTCTCAGAAGCTGGTTTCCACGCCTGCAGCACCAATAGAAGCTACGGCACCGTCCGTAACCTGCTGACGTGTAACAGACCCTTTGAAGACAATTCCTACATACTCCTGTTCCAGCGTGACTCGCCCGTCCCTTTCAGCTTGACTTTCATGCACAGTCGCACTTACTATTTTATAAGTAAGTACAAGGTTCTAATTGAACAAATATAATCACCTTTAACTTGGTGGAATTAAAGGGAATTAGGCAACATTTGCTTTTGCCGTAATGTTCAGAAATGGATTTAGGGGCTAGTATTTTATAGCAGATATTGTTACACTGACATAGTTAAAATGTTGGGTTTGTAAATGCTGGAAAAAACCAAGAAAAACAACAATGTTCTTGTAGTCTTGTTCCCTGATCCCACTTAAGATGAAACGTAGCAATTTATGGAAGGTCAGGGAATCAGTCTAGCTGGCTTGTATCCATTCACAGGTGTGTAATGGGTTGCAAAGAAAAGGCGGATTAGATAACTTGGGGGCAGTATTTGGTGGGAGAATGTTGATGGATGAAGGAAAGATAGAGAGACCAACCACTTTTACCAGAATTCTAATCAAGGAATTGAAAGTCAGTCACTTGTCAATCACATCTCATACTGTTGCAGATCAAATTGACAATCTGCCGGTATTAAACAGTGACAAAGAAACGATTGCTCATCAAAGTGAGTGCCCATTTGAAGCCCATTTTCTAACATTTGTGTTTGCTTTTCCCCTTTTTTATAGCAACCTCTGACGGCACATTAGCGGGCTTACAACAGGTTAACAGCGGCCTGTGTGACACGCATCACATGAAAGTTAGATTTTACATCAGGCCTGAGGCTACAGGTAAGTCATCTCACACGCTACAGACCTTTATCATAATGCCACCATTTCAGTCATGTTCCCTGTATCCAGTAACTGTACTGAATGATAATGGGTTTTTGTGCACAAAGGAACCAGACTATTTTTCCTTCCAGCCCCGCTTTGGTTACGTTGATTTCAATGGGAAAAATCGAGATGGCCGCAACATGATAATGGTCTATTGGGGTCCTCAAATCCAGAATCGTGTGGGAGGTCAGTTTTTGCACGTCCTCGCCTTCCACCTCTGTGTCCCCAGGTTCAAATCCGGGGTTCTATCACTTAACACATTAGCACATGTATTACATTGTATTACATTGTGTTATATTGTGTTTTTACATTGTATTACATTGTATTACTTTGTATTACATTGTATTACTTTGTATTACATTGTTTTACATTGTATTACATTGTATTACTTTGTATTACATTGTATTATATTGTGTTACATTGTGTTACATTGTATTACATTGTATTACATTGTATTACATTGTATTACTTTGTATTACTTTGTATTACATTGTATTACATTGTATTACATTGTATTACATTGTGTTACATTGTATTACATTGTGTTACATTGCACTACATTGTATTACATTGTGTTACATTGTGTTACATTGTGTTCATTCACTGAAGAAAATGAATAAACCCATAGAGTGTTTGTGCAGTTTTGGGTGCTAAAGTGACTGAAGGGTTAAGACGATTCCATGGGTTTCCTGACAATACTTGTCTTGGGATTTTCCTCAATCTTTCTTAATTAATCAAAAAGAAACATTTAACAGTAAGTTTCTTTTATTCAGCACTCAATTTGCCCCTTCTGATTCAATATTTCCACTTATCTTCTTTGTTTTTGATTCCATTTAACTGTCCACAGAACCCTCTCCTACAGGCCAGACGCCGTCGAGAACACCCCCTCGGACTAGACCCCCCAACCGGACGACGCGGCCCACAACAATACCCCCGACACAACCCAGGACGACTACTGTGACACAGGCAGTTACACAGAAGACAGGTAATGCAACAAGCCAAGTTATGGCGTTGCCAGGGAACTTTTTGCACTGAGGTTGTAGTCACTATAGGCAGTCACTTAAAGATGCAGTCACTTAAAGATGCATTCCCCGTGCCAAATTTGAGTTTCGTCCCGAAACAATAGTAGATTCCTTTTCTAAATTGCTATTTTTCTAGCAGTCAAAAAAATATTCACTTTGAATGAGATGTTGACCAAACAAAGTTGGCCCGTTTTTATTATTTATTGATATATGACTTTACAATTTTGAATAATTGGCTATCAGACATTAATTCTCGTGTGATAGGCTGGTTCCCGCCCCACTATCAGTATCGATAATGTAAGGACCATGCTTAAGGACCAGGAGCCAGTCTTCTCTTGAGACAGATATGTTTGTGCCCAAAACAAAATGCTTTTTTTTTTCAAAGGGTTACAGATGTAAACAAAACAAAAAAGGGTAAAAGGAGGCTTTTTTGATTGGGATAAAATTAACAAGTTGAAAATTTATTAATAAAAAAATTCAATTTGTTAAAGAGAAACATGAACGCAAGTTTAACTTTTAAGAAAGCATGCAACTATTGGACCACCTCATTCATGGCTACTTATTGTGGTTGATAGATTAGTGGATAGATTTTTCCGCCTTGTTTCTCCTCAAAAAACTTTCAGAGATTGTCACGGAGAAGCCGGTGGGAAGGGCTCCAAAAATTAAAAAGTACTTTTCCCAGTTTTTGTTGATGGATTTCAGTCCTGCTCCTTGAATTTGTTTTTAATTACATATTTTTCCCTATTTTTTCCTTCCCCAAAAAAATGCCAGAATTCGTCACGGAGAAGCAAGTTGGAAAGACCCCAGAAGATAAAAATTCAAATTCCCAGTTCTCGGACAACGCAAGCACCACGCTCAGACACTCGAGGGCGCTACTTCTGGCGGGATTCTGCGCGGCCATGCTGAGATTGCTAACGATGACGTGATGAGGAGTGGAGTAAAATGGGAAAAAACAAAATACATGCAAAAAACTCTGCAAATTCTCTCTTTTTTTATAAGTCTGAGATGATTGGTATTCCTCCCCAGATTTCTTGGGGGCAGGAAGGTCGTTTTGCCCGACTTCTGGTTTGAAGCTTGAGACTTTTTTTGATTAGATATTTTTCACTCTTAGTCGTCATGTGACTTGGAAGCTTGAAGCACAATCACTGGGTTACTCCTGCATTCCTCAGTGTTTCCATGGAAATTAGCTCTTTCACCATCATACCCATTGTCATGTAAGAAGATAGGGTATTATAGTGGAGTACTGTGGCCTCGTGGTTAAGGGCATTGGATTCGTGGTCTGCGGGTAAAGCTGCAGGTTGTGGGTTCGAGTCCAGCCTGGGGTCATGGTGCGTGTGCCCTTGGGCAAGGCACTTTGTCACTCATTGCTTCTCTCCACCCAGGAGTAAATGGGTACCTGTGTGGGCAGAGATGGTTATTGTGATTGATTTAGCTTCCTTGCGCCTAACAGGCAGCGTCGAGCTGTATACTCCCAGGGAGCTGAGATGGTATTTGGAATGTTTCATGGGCCCAATGAGCAGGGGTAATAATGATGTAGCGCCTTGAGCACCAGTCCTGGTGGATACGTGCGCTTTATAAATACCCACTATTATTGTTATTAATCTCAAAACGTGGTCATTGGAAGATTTGATGATTTGAAGATGTACACGAAAAACAGTTGAACGCATGATGACACTTACAAGTTACAATGTACGTGCAAAGTTTCAGATGTATACATGTGCACAGTGTACATGCAAAATCACATGTGGACTTTATTCTAATGAGGTTAATTATGCATGCATACAAATGAGGACATTTACATGTATACATGGATGTATTGTGAGGACATACACGTCCTCAGTGGTTGACATGTTATGGTACCAACTGTAGAACATTTTTTCATCGCTGTCAACAGCATGAGAAATTAAAGACTAAAATAATCGATTGGACAAGAAATTTCCTGTCCAGATTTCCGTCTCTGTTGAGACCCATACTTCGTAACCAGAAGCCGGGCAAAAAAATACAAAAACAAAAATCTGTATAAAATTTTGAAAATGTCGAGAGAAGTTGTTTATTTATAATTTTTATTGATTGCTTACAACATTAGGGGTGAAAGCTTTTTTTGTGTGTAGAATAAGAAAAAGAAAACGATTCTGCTTCCAAATATGGCTGAAGTTATTTGTATGTCTTTGTCTTTTGTAAAAAAAAAAAACAATTTTAGAAAATTAAAAAAAAACACAAAATGTTAATTTGTTATTAGCCCAACGTAAGTATTTTTGGAAAATCTAAAAGAAAAAAGAACCTACTTTAATAGTTTTCTTGGAATCTAACCCTAAAATAAAATTGTTAATTAATTTTTTTAAGTAGAGCTTTGTTTATTAAAGTGTAACGGTATTCTGCTTTAATAGCTGGAGGTCTGGAATTGTTTTCCCACCTTAGGAAAATTAAAATTTGTCATGGTCGAAAGTTCAGATGATGCAATTTTTGTCACTTGAAGAATCATGCCCGTTGGTGATTTAAAAAAAAAATCTTTCCTCATCAATTTTGTGACATTTTGTAGGTCACAGTAATGGCTGACAGTTATGTAGATAACGGTTACTATGACAACAGGCTGCAGATGAAAAGCAATAATTTGCTTGATGACATTACCAGGGTAGTGAACCACTTATTTTAAATTCAAAATGTTACAAGGATTTGTAAAAATATTTGTAAGTTTACATTTCTCTTTTCTTCCCCCAAAATAATCAAATTTGAACAAATTTGTAATTCCTTCAGAGGCATTTGCCAGAATTTTTAGTTGGAAAACATAATCTGAATGAAAAAGTCAAATTTTATGATGTTTTGGACAGATTTAGACAGAGTAACAGTTGGCCAATAATTACGAGAAATCATGAGAAAGGTCTTAAGAATTGTGGTCTACATTAAATATTATATTTCTGTCTTTGTTAAGTGCGTTCAGATCCCAAGTATTTCTTTTAATGCCTGTGTATATTATAAAGCCCACTAGATTTTGTAGCTTTTGAGTTCATCTACATTCTTTCAAAGATGTATATTTCACATTTATTTATTAAAAGAGAAAAAAAGCCTTGTCTTTTTTATGTAAATATAGTAGGACGCAAATTTGAACAAGTCAAAACGTGTTTGAGTTTGGTCAATTTTTTTGGTGGGTGAAAAATTAGTAACAATGCTTTAAAAAGTGTAGATTTTTTTAATAAAAATTTCAAAAAAGGACAAAAAAAATATTTCAGAAGATGGAGAAGTATTGTTGACTTCTGTTGCCATCTTTCCACAACTTGTAAAAAAAAAATTCAAAACTGATGTACAGATTTTTTTTCATAAATGTTTGTTCATCGTGATTGTGTCATGTGAAGAAGTGTTCACAATTTTCTTCCAACTTCTTTATTTCGAAATGTTAGCACAAATTTTGAAACTGCGAAAACTCAGATTCTGTTCTATTTTGATAACTTTGATTGATGGTTATTGAGATGCAATGCTGTATCAGTAACATTAACTAGCCACATTAACTAGTTTTCCTGGTTACAATTAATTTCTAACCTGAGTGAGTTCTTTCTTTCATTGAAGTTTCAGAGTATCAACCAAGCTAGAAACTGTAGAATAACTAGTAAACCTAGTAACATTAACTAGTTATCCAGGTTACAATTATGCTCTAACTCGAGTCAGTTCTTTCTTTTATTGAAGGTACACAGTTTCAATCAGGCTGGGATCATTAGAATAACTAGCAAAACCTAGTGACATTAACTAGTTATACCGGTTACAATTTCTTATCCGATTAAGTTCCTTCTTTCGTTGAAGGCACACAGCATCAACAGACAGTAATTGCACACTCAGTTATGAGAGTTTTTTTTCAAAAAGAAATTGAACTCGTTCCATATTTTATCTTACAAACATTTCAAAGGAATTTCTGGTAGGGTTTGTTCAGTCTAACGGGCTGAAACATTGTCTTGAATACAAAGTAAGACTTCTGACTTTTTGTAAATAGATTAAGATCTTGATTTGGATTTCGTTTGTGATTATTAATGAATATTTAAACAAAAATGGGATTGCTCTTTTCTATGTGAAACTACTCAAATTTAAGACTGAATTTCCCACGACTTCATGATCCATCTCATCTTTTTGATACTATGCAAATATTATACATATTTGTCTTTTTTGTTGTTGTTTTGTTTTATCCAGCGAAAGAATTTGTCAATATTTGCAATTGTATAGAATATTAGAGTTTCAGTATGAAAAAACAATGCGCACTTATAACATAGAACATGCTTTTTGTCCATGTTCAGGGGCCATCATCAAAATCTCCAATTACCGGAAGGCTCGAACAGGTTACATACAGTTAGCAAAAATTGATTGGTCACCAGCTAAAATTGAAATTATGCAATGTGTAATGTTAGCCGGTAACCAGTCTTGTATGCTTAGCACACATTTCTGCTAAGCTGCCTTTTGGACTGGGCTCCATAGTTTCATTGTGCACTTGTATTAAGCTTCTCTTTAATTTTCCACTAAACAAAATCAACTTAGCAACTATTTGAAATAATAGATCCTTTATCACATTTTTTAAAATGCTTTTACATTTGAAACCTCGTTTAATGGTTCAGCTGGGGTTGGGGTTATTAACCATTTTTTTTTCATTACAAGATTTTATTCCAAGAAGTAATAGTTGAATTTACAAAAACAACTTGTCTTATTTGATCATGTTAAATAATACTGCTGCTTTCAGTTTTATTTTTAAAAATATATGTATATGCCTTATGTTTATTCATAACATTATTATGTTTATTCATTATCTGAGTGTATTATTTGCTCGTTGTGGGATAGCTGGGAAGCCAAATGATGTAATTGTAGAGCTAATGAATATGCATTTGTAGGTGGAGACTCGGTATATTAATTTGTGAGAATGGAACATTCCAACCTCAACACCCTTGCTAAATTTGCTTATGGGAACATGTCCGTCCCACTTTTTATTAAGCCCCACCTCTGCAATTTAGTCAACCCCCATTTTCAAATACAGTGCAAACCTTGCCTCAACTTGATCACAGAAGTATGGCAAAATATTTTGTGTTAAATTTAACTGTAAACTTTGGCTGTGAAGTTTGAAAATTTTAGCACACTTTCAGACAATATGAGGTTTTTTTTTAAATGTTGGCCATAAAAAACAGTTTGCAAATTTTTGGAAATCTAATGTACCATTAGTAATGAGATGCGTAACTTGCATGTTTTGTAGCTAGAAACAGCTGTTGCCATGACATTGGTTTATTCCATTCTCACAGGAAATGACAATTACTGTAATATATTTGTACATAAATGCAGTACTACATTTTACTAGATTTCTATGCTTCGGGATGACAATACCTTGTATTGTGGAAAACTTGTATTTTGTATCATTTCTCTGTTTTTTTTTGTATTTTGTTTTAAATATTTCAATGCTGTACGTATTTTGCTGTTGAAACTTGTGCGAAATCTCTCCCACCTTTGTTTGTGAATGGAAAGGCCCAAAAGTTTAAATGTATGCATATTCATGATCATGCTAATCAGAAAACGCAGGGCGAATGAGCTGAATTTGATGTCAAAATTGAAGAAGCACTATGAAAGATACAACTTCCCTTTTTGTCGCGCATGGTGTCCCTTTTTAGATTTGAGCAAGCGAAGATGACATTTTGATTTCATGAAAATTGATTCCACGTTCACGTCTGTATAATAATTAGATGATGGATTTTGTGGTACATGGTTCAAGAGTGTGACATTTCAAAAAGAAAATTCACTTAAAAGCTGCTGTCTCAAATAATGAAAAACTTCATTCACAACAGAAATAACAACATTTCTAAGGATTTCATTTGAATTAGGGTTAGACTAGACATTGAAACGTTGTGTATTAGAAGAAAAACGGTAGTTGTACATGGTTCAAGGGGTTATTTTTTTCATCCTTTTAAATTATAAATTTGTAGCTGGTTACCAACAG